TCATGTTAACAATTTTCAGGTTCAAATATTGTAGTTCTTCAATAGTTCCGAATATTTTTGCCACGCTACATTTCAACACAGTTCAGTTTATTATTTGATATTGAGAAAAGTATGTGCAATAAATAAATAAAATTTACCTTACTATAAACTATAATGACTGTTCTATTATATTATTAAAAAATTAATCCAAATTTACTATTACAAACAATCGAAGTCCACAACAATATTTTGAATAGCATGATGTTCGAATATTAATAAGAGTCACTGTACGTAGAAAGTGAGAAATGTGTTTTCGTCAGTAAAGCGGTACCGTACCGGTATATATTTCGGTATTTTTGCCATTGTCGACATCAAATACCGATAAAATACGTATGAAAATACCGATATGACCGTCTCATATCGCTATTAAAACCGATTTCCCAATATTACAATAATGTATTACAATAATATGAGAGCAAAAATACCGGTATAATAACCTCGCAATATTTCGGTTTTCAGTCTCTGGTTCATTCATAGCCAGGGCGAGAAGCAAGAGTCATCCTAGACTCAGCGACTCTCTTAAGAGTCTCGTTCGGAAACGGTGCCGAGCGAAAATGTTTTCCCGAGCTCCGGTCATAAATCACGCGACGAAGGTTCGTCGTTTATCCGTTATTCTCCGGCGTGCAGAGAAAATGCTTAAAGGGATCGGTGGGTGATAAATTTTCGTGGAAAGTTGACCGAGGCGGGCTGGCGCGTTTCACGGAGTCGGCATCATGACCGCCAAGTGGGCCAATAAATCGCAATCCGTAATCGGTTTGCGATCGTTTGCATCTTAATTGCGCGAACAAAACGTCCACGTTTCCTCAGAATCTCATGATTTACGGGCCGTGCGTAATTTCAACTTTCCCGCGTCGAACGTTTTCCATAGAATGGATTTTTCCAAACGATCGTCCATTTTGAAAGTAACATTCTCGTTCGTAACGTATTGGAACGTTGTTGTTGTGAAAACTTGATCCTTTGCACTCCAAACTATTTTTTTTTTTTTTTTTTTTTTTGAAATTTAAACGATACAAATAAGAACTTGCTCTGTTGTAATTTTAAAATTTCACTACTTTTTCACTTTAACGTCTCATCTGATGGAAATTCCAGACTTTTTTTTATCGTTAGTCGGTAGTTTTGACTATTCTAATATTCGTTACACCTTAAATACAATTTAATTTCGCACAATTTATGAAAAATCTCATTTTCATCGAACGGAAGAAAGTTTCAATCAGTGTGCCCCCTCTTGTCTATCGCTCACGTTCTTCTCTAGTGGTTTGCGCGAAGAGGGTGAGCGACACCTGCTTGACACGGGGGCGTGAGGCTCCGAAATCGAGTAGATAAGGGTCGCGTCGTTGAATTTCTTGCTTGTAATCGGATCGTTACTGCTCGTGACACTCTCTCTCGTCTATCGAAAGATGCGACGGGGCATCATATAGAGAATATCGTTGGGAAACGGCTAACAAGCGAGTAAAATAGCTGCTATTAAGTTACTTCTCCGACTGAAAAATAACTTCCTGCATTCGAACGCAACGTAAAAATATCTAGAAAAAAAAAAAAAAAAATAGATATATATCTTTGGAATGGATACGAACTATTATATCCTTAGATATCTTAGATATCTGTCCATATATCTTTGGAACAGATGGATAAGCCCATAAAAAACATCAGGATTCTTTAGAACAATTATTATAACCGTATAAGTTATTATGATCTAATGCAGGAGGAATGTGTCGACTACCTATTACACGTGTATAGTTTGTGAGATTGTTTGAACGCTTGTTGTGGTATTTGAAATATCATTAGCACTGCGATGACGCATTGTCATTGACTTTACCGATGAAGTTTAAAAATCAGTCTGAAAATGTACGTGGAATGTAGAAGATAGAAATACACAGAGATGAAAATATTCGCGACAATGATCATTAGATGATACACGAACTAGACAAGATTTAGTAGACAGAGAACTTTGTGGAACAGCAGCAATTGTTAGTTAACGTAACAGAACATTGATCAGTAACAAATGATACCAACTACACGCGATACTTTCGAATAGTTACGTTAATATACACGTTGTCTTGAAATCGGCACGAGTCCGTGTAGAACCATGAATTTTTACCAACATAATCGCAACCGTGACTTATCATAATGCTGATTGTATAAAATATAAAATATTAGATAATAATTATAAAAATATATATAATATATAATATATATATAATAATTATAATTATATAAAATATACAATATAAATCATATATATAATTATTAATATAAAATATAAAATAATAGATAATAATTATAAAAATATAATAATAATTATATAAAATATAAAATATAAATCATATATATAATTATTAATATAAAATATAAATAATCAAACTTAAACGTAACTTTGTCAAATGATTAGAAGGTTAACAATACAGTGATTGAAATATATCGTATTGCATATGATTGGAAAGGAATTTCTTTTTTTTTTCAAAATTCTCACGTCAAACTTTATTGCAAATATCTCCCACGAGTGAAAAGCTGTTCGCAAATCTCGCGTGAATTCTCTCAATCCGATCCACTGTGCGTCATAGTAACACGCTTCTCCCATGGAATGATAATATTTCTCATTAGTTGGACGATAAGAGTCCAAGACCGTGCAGGTCGTTCGACTTTGATCATTTCCCGTGGCTTGTCAGTCCACTTGTGACTTTATTCGTCCGTGTCATTCGCGAGACTGTACGCAGCTACCGAGAAATCATCACCGCGGCAATCTTCCCGTGAAAAGTCAACTTAGCGGCGGCACCAGGGAATTTTCAACGCGCGATAATGATCATCGCGGTGGAATTTTTGCGCGCGCCTTCGTGGTTTTCGAATGAAATGAATGACTGACGAGTCAGACGAGTCGTTGAGACAGTAACGGCGCGTGTCGCAAACTGGCGTGGAAAAATCGCTGACGATGAGGACAGACCTGCCAGGTTCTTTCGCTTGTCTGACGTCGCGTTCTCGAGATTTTGGCCAAGGGGTGTCTGAAATATCGATCTGAAAAGAGAGAGACCTGAAGAATTGATATCTCAAAGCCCCCGCGATTTATATTCATAACATTATACGACGAAGATTCAACTCGTTCGTTGAAAATCGATAAAACGAATAATTATATAGAGAGATTTTTTGTAATTTTATTTTTATTGAAACACAGACGAAATACGTATGTTCAGAATGGACATTTAATCAAAAAGGACAGTATAGGACAGATCTATCATTTTTACATAGAAACCGTACGTGTGATTTTGAAATATCCACAAAAAAATTATATTATTATAGTAAATATGTATTATATATTATATTAAATTAAATATATATTATATATTATATTAAATTAAATATATATTATATATTATATTAAATTAAATATTAAATTATATTTTTATATTAAATTAAATATTATTACATTAAATATATATTATAAACTATATTATATACTATATACTAAATACTAAATATATATTATATACTATATTATATAATATATTATATATTATTACATTAAAGTCTACGATCTTCTGCAATATTTAATAAAACACTGTAAGTTATCGTAGAAAAATTCAATTATAAAATTCTGTAATGTTAGAAATCGACGATCTTCCTAACAAATCTTTTACGAACGATCGTCAAAGATCGTTGAAATTGTCTTGGAGGGGAGGAAAAAAAAGGCAAACTTTAGTCGGCTTTAGTTTTATTTTCCATGGACATCTAATTTTAGTTTTGCTTCACTTTTGGAACTTGGCTGCCCATGATCGCTTTCACCACGTGTGTCATATTTTCCTAGAAACGGTCACGCAGCTGAGTAATCTGTTAAAGAGATGTTCCGACGTGCTTTCACTGTTCCCTGGTATTGGATTTGATTTACGGCCGTCATTTTTAATTGCCCTACAATCTCGAATGGTTGTTCGGCTGCCAACAGATTCCCATTGCCAGGAGGGTTGCATTGATAGTTAATAGTTAATAGTAAATTGTTGGATTTACAGATCTTTTTTTTGTAAAGGCTATATCGATCGACAGATTCTGTGAATGTTATTTTACAAAGTTAAGTTAATTTTCTGCATACCAAAGGAGTTTGTTTTCATCCTTTCAATATTACAATGAGCATCATATTTATGCATTTATTTTATGCTAATTTATTCATTTATGCTAATTATTTTACTGTTAAAGAAATGGAGGCTGAATAGAGATTTGTGTAGTAGATTTTATTCTAAATAGAATCTAAACAGAAGTTACTTAATAAATTTGAATACAACGAATTCATATGTACAATTTTAATAAAGTACTATACTTCTGTACTCTATATAATATAATATATACTCTAATATATAATATAGAGTATATATAATATATTCTATACTATAATATGTACTCTATATAATATAATATAGAGTATATCTAATATAGAGTTTATATATATAATATACTCTATACTATAATATGTACTCTATATAATATCTAATATAGAGTATATATATATAATATACTCTATATTATAATATGTAATCTATATAATATAATATATAGTATTCTATACTCTATAATAAAGAATTCTCTGCACGTTTTGTACGCGTTTCTACATATTATTTTCATCTTTAAGTTTCCCATAAATTCGCACGAAAGTATACGATTCACGGTTCAAATTATCATTAACTGTAACTGTCTGATTACATTACGTAACAAAGTGTTCCCCTTTCCTGCATGCAGTCACTAGACTTTCACGCGTCTGCAGAAGATTTCAATGAATTTTGAAACAATTCCTTCCACCAAACACCATCCACTTCTCTCAACCATATTTTCCAAACCACGAGCCTGTGTAAAAATCGGCGAGTCCGATTGATCGCTGACGGGCAAAAACCTCGACGAAAAGATCAGAACAAGTGAAGTTAGAAAATTGAAGCGGGGAAAGATCGTGCGAGCCGGCGAACAATTAATCGACTCGTCGTTTAATTCTTTTTTTTTCTTTTTACTTCAGGGAGCAGACGATCGCTCGAAAATGGGGTTGAAACGACGGCGGAACAAAGCAGGGCACCGATGAAGTGATCGATCTGGACCGCGAGCGTGGGCGTTTGAAGAAAATGATGACTGCCATGGCCAGATTGCCTTGCAAACAGACCTCGCCATCGCAACAGCCGCGAGTGAACAATTTCGGGAACAGTCGGAACACCTACTGGAACATGCAGACCAGGCATCCAGCACCTCCCTACGTCAGGAATCATCAACGACACACCGATCACACCGGTGAGCCGATAGATTGTTTATTATTAACTAGTATCTTCCGTTACACGTGCTGGCGCTTCCCAGGGTGAAGGTCGAGGCGTTCACTTTTCACGATCAACCCTTTTGTCCCCCCCTCTCTCCTTTCCTTCTTTCCTTCCTTCCTTCTTCTTCTTCTTTTTTTTTTTTTTTTAACGAACCAAAGGGAGAGGGGCTCGACATACAAAGAGACGCTTTGAAGGAGCAGGATATTTATACCGTGTGTAATTCCTTCTTGTCGAGTGTATGCTTCGACGACGCGGTTTTCCTCCGGGAAAGCTATATTAAGGCCTAACGCCAGTCAAAGTATGGTGTAGTACAGTGTAATACATCGAGGAGAAATACTTGTATTTTTTTTTTTCTTTTTTCTTTGTACGTGTCATCTTTCATTGCTTCGCTTCGCTCTCTCTTTCTCTCTCTCTCCGTAATCGCGTTTTCGAGGATTTTTGGGTAGCCTCAGTCGATCTGAGATACTCGAGGTAATTGATTTAGTTTGTTAGAGGCACAAAAAGGGATAAAATATTACGACATTGGCGCATTTGAGGCGAACGTGTTCTTGATGACACGTAGATTTGATACTTGTAGATTTCGGCAATTTTAGTATCGTTTTTTTGCACGCGATACATTTTATTTCAATTTTCACGTTTGAACCTCGGTGTCAAAATGTTCGAAAGCTGTTTTATTCATTAAAACGGGAGCGAGATTGGCATACAGAAATTCAAACACTATGGCCAGATTAAATTAGAAATACACGGTATATATCCATTTAAGAAAAGAGAAGAAAGCTCTGAATTTATTATCGCGTGCACGGTCGAAACACTATGGTTAATAAATAACTAATTCCAAGCCTGTTACACGTATATTAAGAACGAAGTTTTATCCTTCGAAGAAAAAGTATATCAATTCTTTTTTGTCGTCCTCAGCGCGCAAGCTCAGTTGATGAAAAGCGAAAAAGAGAAAAAGAAAAAAAAAAAACTCACGCCAATTCGACTTTCGATCCTTCGTACCTCGACCTCGAGTTTCCGGTCGTTCCGGATGTCAGCCGAAAGCTGAATCGAATTTGTTTGAACGCGCTTTGTCGCTGTAAGTCGAATCCACTTTTCGATGATTTTAATTTGTATCGAAGTCGGAAGGATGGCTGATAGTTGGGAAGAGGAAGGACGCTGGGAAGGAGCAAAGTTTTAATTAAAAGTTACTTAACTGAGGGATCGATCGCCGACGCGGGCACGGGGCTCTCGCGATTCATAACTCTTCGTTATTTACGCGATGCAACATTCCTAACGGGCAACGTTACATCCTTGAACGAACTTCCTATCGAGCGGGACCGTTTTATCTTCACCCTTCACCGTTATCGTCGTTAATTATCCTTTTTTACGACATGCTCGTTACGTGCAGCATCGGACGAGTTATCGGACACGTCGCAATGTCGCCTAATATTTGGAATCGGCGATTTACCGTCCTCCTCTGTATTACTTTTTAACATACTACACGTTACCGATCGGAAATATACAGGGTGTCATGGAAGATGGTGATTCTACACGAAGAACTGAATAAAAAAATATAGAATCAGAGTTTTTCGTACGAAGCTTCGTTTCCGAGAAGAATGGCTTTTTGAAAGAACGTTTATCGAGTACGCGTGCAATTGATCAAGATTATTCAGCTCAATTATCGGAAGGCGTTACTCGTGAAATTCGAAGAAATTTCATTTACCAACAAGATGGAGCACCATCGAATTTCAGTCGCCAAGCGAGACTTTTCTTTCTCTTCCTTTGCTCGCGGTTTGCACCGGCGAAAGTGGCAGAAAATCGTACGGTCTCGCGTACGAGACCGTTTTCCTCGGAGGTTAGTCCTCGGAAGTTGAGAAAGAATCGTTGCACCTTGCAGCTAGACGCTTTCACGAGAACTTCTGACGCTTTTGAGCCTCTGTCGGCTCGTTCTTTCTCCTTTTTCTTTTTCTTATCGTTCCGCGGTGTGTCATTATCACAGCCTGCGGTCGTCCGTGGAGAAGAAAGGCTGTTACGGCACGTCATCGGCCACCGTGACTGACGTCAACCCGAAGACAAACTTGAAGACTAACGTGACTGATGTTGCGAGCAAGTTTCCACAACTATGTACGATCTCAGCCTCGATCGGAACGAATAACTTCGTCGCTTTGTGCTTAGACCTTTGACGAAAGAGTTGAAACAGATTGGGAAACGATGGAGAGAGTGGAGCAGTCTTCCTTCTCTTCTCGATCATTTTTCAACTCAAAAGCAAGGCATATAGTAAATTTATAAATTGGTAAATTTCATGACTTTTCCCAATTTTCTATTTCGCTACGCTCTTTCTTTATTTTCTGCTACGAATGGCCCCACGTGTTCTGCTGATTGATGATACTTCACGTTACGTGAAAGTCATCTAGATACCTAGAATTTCTTTTTATTTATGCTTTTATTGAAAAGCACAGAACACCGAAAGCGAAAAAATTGGTAAATTTCGCCAAGAGCCGCCAGACTAGAAATTTACTAATTTTTTTCATCGGCAAGCGTTCATTTGGAAATTCTTCAACTTGTCGGGGAATTAATTAACAAAGGTGATGTTTAATTAAAACTTTAGATTATGGCAGAATGACGGTGTAACGATCGTGATTAAAAACGTAATGCCAGAGTCCAGAATTCTTTTAATTAAAAATTTTTAATTAAGCTTAAAGAATGTTTCGCCTCGTCAAATGATAGTGGTATCGTGTTATGTCTGCCTAATAAAAATTAAATAAATTACATTGAAAAGTAAAAATTACCAGATTTTTACGTTCGTGTTATTTGCGATCATTGAAGTAGGACCTGTGATCTATAGGTGTGTATAGACGAATGTATATTTTAATTTTCATCTTTTAAAACTCTCGAGACAAAAATTAACAATATTAGAAATTAGATTATAGATTGATACAAAAATTAACGATATTAGATATAGATTCGATGAATGTACAGACAATGTCAAGAAACGTGGCAAAACTTTCGATTGATCTTTTAATCTCGTGATCTTTCAAAGTTCTTTCAAAGCGGGATTGAAAGTAAAACTAAACTAAAATTAACAATTTTTGAATATTAAAAGTTCGACAACTATGCAAAGGATGGCAAGAAATATAACTAGAAATTCTGAGAACTTTAGATCGATCTTTCAACGTTGAGAGAATTCGTTTTAAAATTCTCGAAAGGACAAAATAAAAAGCGAAAGTAGTAATTTTTCGATAGTCGATAAATTCGATGGACATTCAGAGGATGACGTTGAGAGATATAGCAAAATTTATTTATTTTAATAAGTTAGAATTTTATTCAATAATTTTATTAACAATAAAATGCCTCTTTTTGGCTTTAATTTAATTTAATATTAAATAATAAAAATTTTAATTATATTATATACTATATATTATATATAATAAATATAAAAATAAATAATGAAAATTTTTATATTATATACTATATATAATATAAATTTATATATAATATAAATATATGTTATATATAATATAAATTTTAATATTATAAAATTATATATATATAAATAATATTTATAAGTTTTTAATTATAATTATAATTTAAAATTTAATTATTTTATAATAATTTTATTTAAATATTAATATATTTAATATAAATGTCCTATTATTCATTCTAAAATTAATGTGAATAATATTATAAATATAAATAATAAAATTCACTTTAGTTGATAAAATTAAAAGTATTTAATTAAAATGGAAAAGCTCGTCAAATTCAATTAAGAATAAGGTAGGGTTAAGATTTAAGAATTATTATTATACGGGGGGGAACGATGATCGAGATATATCGGAAAAATCGGGATGTGAGGAATTTCGGATAAATTTCGTGCCGATCCGCGCGATTTAAAATTGGATAACGTGGGAAGTCGCAGGATTTTCCGGAGCAAGTTTTAGCACGTGTTTGTTTTAAAACAATCCTGTTGCTTCTGTGCGGGCAGAAAGCAGCCTCGACCATTCTGTTCCCTCTGACACAGCACACGACTGTTGCTTGATCCACAACACATGTCAAATACAAACACAATACGACACACGGAAGAAAAAGCAAACTGCGAACGAAGTCGCGTTCTCGTATGAATAACTAAGAGCAAACGCGTTTCGAAACGCTTAAAAACATTTGAAACGGATTCCTAAATGATGTAACGTGCACCACTTCGAAAGAGAATGACGGATCATCGTTATTATGTATGTTTTGAAATGCGTGTATTTTTTGAAAATTAATTATTGTATTATATAACATAATTACATTATATTATATACGTATACGTTATACGTATACACGATCTATTGGCACTCTGATCGAAACGTCAACTCTTTATGTTTAACAATAAGCACTGATTGACAATCGCAAGTTTCAAAGAATACATTATTGTGCAACGAAACGATCTATTACAGTTTTCTCAATTTTCCCTTTACTGTATCCACTTTTAAATGTCCTAAATAATTATTTCTAATGTTCGTTTTAAAGAATTTCATCGTTTTACAGAATTCCGTGAATTCATATTTCCATATAAGTACGTTGAAAAATAATTTTCAGTCAAAAAAAAAAAAAGAAAAAAAATTGTCAAAATTCGTCGCGAAAATCGACAAACCACTGTCGAATATGTCGGTAAATTGTTGCCACTCGTGTTCGAACGAAAACAAACGTCGGAGTCATTGAAACGAGCATTTAAAACACGCGAGAACGCGATTTTTATCCAAATTGGTGGACGCATGCTGAAACGATCGATGAACTGTCATCGCGCGCTCAAAAGCGGTGACTGATGGACAATCATCGTTGCCTGTAAAAAAAACGCCATCATTGCGCAGAGATGCACAATCTGTGCGTCATGTTTTCATCGTTCAATGCAATAGAACGAATAACATATTCGTCATGCATTTCACGCATTTCTGTGGCTCGAAAGAAAAACGCCGCTTGCTGTCACGTGCTTTCATTTCAACAGATGTCACTGTTTGA